GAGAGAGAGAGAGAGAGAGAGAGAGAGAGAGAGAGAGAGAGAGAGAGGGAGAGAGGAGGAGACAGCGAGCGCACAGTGAAGGGGAGAAATGCCCCGCTGATGATGAAATAGGAGGTGCGGCGGAGCGGGCGAACCAGTCACTTTTACATCACATGTCCAACGCGGCAAGGAACTGTATTTGCACCGGAGACGGGGGAGAAGGAGGGAATAAGGGAGGGGGGCATAAGATGGGTGGGAGACAGAGACACAGAAGGAGAGAGAGAGAGAGAGAGAGAGAGAGAGTGTGGGAGGGTGGAAAGCACTAAATGTGGGAGGGGTGGAGGAGGAAGAATGACACAGAAATACACTCCTCCAGCACTGCGCAGACGCAGTGCACACACTTGCACGCCATACTGGGATACACTATACAGTACCTCATATCAACTGGTGAAAAGAAAAACGAGGAAAGAGTGAATACACAGTCGTTCAGAATGGACTTCCCCCGCTGACGGATCCTTGAAATATGCAGCACTTTTGAGAGCTGGTTAAATTATTAAGCTCATCTCATATTGTGGTGGGGCTCTTCTCGCTGGAGCAGTCTTGGGTGTGCACACACACTCTCTCTCTCTCTCCGAGTGCATTAACTCTTTAGCATGCCACAATGACTGGCGTGAAAGCACAGAATAGACCAGACGCACGCGCGCACACGCACGCACGCACGCACACACACACACACACAGGAAAAAAAGATAAGCTTCTGCAGTGTTTATTTCAGTAACGTGGCAAAGAACGCAGGGCTAGGACCCTCCTCCTTGCCCCGGCTCTGTCACAAAGCGAGCCGAGCGCTGCAGCTGAACCCTCGCAGCTATTTTGGCACAAAGTCAAAAGGCTGATAAGCATTTTTGGGTGAGACTTCGCTGCTTTTCCTCGAGGAAAAACAGCTGCCACTTTCCCGGTAAAATGCATTCAACAGTTCGGAGAACATTTCAAGAACCCCCCCCCACCAGGAGATGCTAATTTGTCTTGTTTAAAATAGAGGAGGGGTAAAACAGAAAATAAAATGGTCTAAACAATCAGTCCGAACTGAATCCACGCACTGATTTACATGAGGAGAAAGCCAGAGAGTTAACCAGAGGGAGAGACCTAAACAGCATGGCCGTTTCCACCATCTTAGATTGTATTGATTATTCTTTGCTGGAACGTCTGTCTCTCTCACACACAGGCTAGCTCTCTTTCTGTCCCTCCCTCCCTCACTTTTTCTGCCTCTGTTCTGCCACCTTCTCTACTCGCCGATCATCATTTGGCTTTTTCCATTCGTGGAAGATTACTGTAACACTATTGTACAACAACTTCCTGCCTCTTTTGGCTCTGGTTCTAAAAAAAAACTGCAAAAAGCAGAGCTCGTGGCTCCAACTTTTTTCCCCCCTCGGCCTTGAACTACAGGAGCTCTATAAGGAAAGAAAAGGAGGAAGGAGATATGTAAAGTCGGTTACTGAGGAACCTTTTTGATTGCATTTCTGCTTTATAAACTGCTGTGATTTAAAGAGGGGACTGCATGCCTAGCAGAGACAATGAGAGACAAAAAGGTGGGGGTTAAACGTTTCTTACTTTTACTCTGCGACTACTTTCTGTTGGTTTTTTCGAGGGCACTGCAATATTAGCGGGACTCGAGCTCACGTAGGTTTGCCTAACATGGCTGCTCCAGCTTCAGGCTGCACAGTCTGTGAGGGCTGCTTTCATAGCACGGCCACCACCCCGTTATACTCGCCGGCTCTCTTCCTCTACTACAGCAGCACAGAGACGGGATTCTCCACAAAAACTGTTCTCCATTCTGCACGTCTCTTTGCTCCGCAGGTTTAAAAAACAAAACAACAGGTGGCTAAACACAGACGATGTGCAGACAGAAACTGCTCGAACTATTTACGCTAACTTGGTGCAGAAAAGGCTGGAGTGCAACTCATTTGTTCTGCATTCTCTTTCCCCTCAATTCAGGCATCGACATTGGCATGAGCTATAGAATCCTATTAGAAGGAGTGCAGCTGCACGTCACATCTCGCCATGCATTTTAACCAATTGAGAAAAACCAATGACTTCATTGTGGCTTCAATGCATCACATGGATACACTAGAAGTCTGAGTATTAAAAAGGTAGCTGTTCTAGAGAGGCACACTGTGTGCATTTATGCTTAGTGTGCAACACTGCACTTTGCATGGCATAAAGTTCATTTGAGGATACAGATTTGGGTAGCTGCTAGCTCTCACCACATTGCTTCTCGACATTTTAAACCATTAACGCAGTCATAACTTACAATATTTTGGCAACTAAGAAAGACTTTATTTTGTTTTAAAAGAACAGTTTCTGACGAAATGCATTGCTACTCTTTTAACTAGTGCTAATATTTTTGGGGGATTAAATTATCAAATATATATATTTATAAATGATCATTACTTCTTAGAATCTTAACAATGACATGACATTCAAACTGCTCTTTGATGAACACACTTTTATGTCGAGAGAAGCAACAGCTTTTGTCCACGGCTGCAAAATCTGTGAGATACAGAATCAGTCAATCTGGAGAATTGATGATACGATGCGAAGCCAAATGGCAGAGGGCGCCATGTTATGGACTCTGCCCGACATCATTGGACTATAATTATTTATGAAAAAAAAAGCTCTCGAAACTGCAAGTCTTTTTGTCGATTTTGTAAGAAGCACCAGGTGACTATTGAAGTTAGTAATATTGAAATGTCTCAGCTTTATATCTCATAAAAAGCCCAACAAAAAGCATATTAAGATTATTACACAGTGGGATAAATATTAATAAAATGGTTGAAAGACATACATTAAAATAACAAAATAAATGTTCCGACTTCTTTAAAAATTAAAATGATCACATGGGTATCCGGGCCTTGACTGGACTTTCAGTCTCACACTGATTAAACCTCGTATAGTACACAATGAGTGCTGTGGGCTGCACATATTTAAGTTAGTCATGAGCAAACACTCTATTACAGAAAGTTCAGATAAGGGCACAGGGACATTATAAAGACACTGTTTTGTCTACAGCTTTCTCTCTTTACGGGTACAGGAAACAGTGAGGAAAGCTGGAGGAATAATAAGGGGAAGGGGATCAAACAACATTTGCAATTAGTCATTTGCAAACATCAAAGAGGCATTAGGAGGTTGGGGAGGGTGAGAGAGGGGTGACTCTGTGCTTGCTCAGCAACCACCACTACATCCACATATACTCGACATGATGTGTGGCACATAAAAACACATGTATATTCTAATGGACTCATTTAAGGGGCTAACCACAAAAGTATCACTACGCTATGGAGGGAGGGCTTCATACTCTCCAGGAGCAGAGTCTATGAGGTGGTCTTGCTTAAGCCCTGCACGTGTCTAAACAACTTCTCTATTACACCCGAGACCTTTGAGGGCACTCCCCATCGAGCGGGGAACAAAGGCCATGACCCCTAGGTCAAAAGCGTTACACGGGAGGCCAAGCGGGCCCATTGAATGCTGCACTGCTGTTTGCTTTAAGAAGGTAAAGATTACTAACACATTAACTAATGCCGATTAGGGGGTTATCCCTCATGGGACAGAGGTCCCAGGGCAGCACATCTCGTCTTATTAACACAGCCTCAACTTTGACCCCACCAGTCACCTCAGGCAGCCAACTGTGACCACCACTTTCTGCTCTCTGTTTGACACACACACACACACACACACACACGGACTACAAATAAAGAGTATCACAGCAAGGTGCAGCACAGCTTGAAAAAATTATTGTTGTCTGGACAAGCATGAATAAATGATAATATACTATCACTGCACAGTGTCTGCACTCCTGTTCATTAAACAGTTGACTTGCATTAGCAGGTTGTGCTTCATCTTACATTTTCGGAGTAATATTTCCAATAAGTAGAAGTATGTAATTGATCCTAAAAATGATCGATTAAAAAAAAATAAAAAGTGATTTCAAGGCCTCGGATTTTCAAGCACATGTTCTACTGAAGTTCATAAAATGGGAGCACATGCAGTAAAGTTTTCATCACAAAATGGTGGACGCAAGACATGCGCAGTATTGATGTTCCAGGATCATATGATGAAAAGCAAGAAAGGGACAACTTCTGCGAAAAACTCACCGTGCCGTGCGATTCAAACATTACTTCTGCATCAGAAGAGACGTACAAGTAGAAGGACGAGCTGAGCTTATTTAACCCTACCTTCCCATAAAGAGCTAGCCAATAATACCTTACAATGACACATAATTCACCATCTTCAAAATGACTGCTTGTGATCAGATCATTTGCGATGGTCTTTCTTAAATTAAAATAGCATGTGCATATTAATTTAATAGATTCAAAGAATATCAGCATTGGTGTATTTGAATTGCACACTCATGTAAAACTTGTAAACATTATATTACAATTGAGCACCTATTTGATACGCAAGTTAATAGTTGAATTTATTCTGGATAATTGAAAAGAAAACATCTGTGTAATAATAAATGAGTACATTTAATTTATCTCAGAAAATAAATATTAATTTTGAATTTGCTTTTGGGTTAAAAAGCTGATGACAACAAACTGCTGCCTGTGTAGGTGCTGCTTTCATACGAAATAAAAAGAAACAGATTAGAGTCAATGCTTGATGGAAATATATAAGATGTATATAATGGGGAAAGAATTTCAGTTGAATTATTATCTATCTATCTTTTTTATGGTAGCTTTATTGTAAAGGTATAAGAGGGCATTTATTATCAAAAAACAAATGTTAAGTAAACCGATTTGTTTTGACAAATATTCATTAATGTATCAACTCTATCCACCTATTTCTTACCATTTTAATTCATTTTGTTTCTGCAAAAAATAATTAACTTTAGCACAAATACAACACATACACATATGATCTCCCTGAATAATTTAGTCTAATAAAAGGTACAATTTTTGGTTCCTG